TTTTTTTTTTGTTGGTCATTTACATTTATTTGCTAGTATTTGGGAAAATCAGCCTTTGTGTGCATTTATGTTTGCAATTGGGACACGAGGTAGAGGGTAAAAGAGGGAGGTGGTGGGTTTATTGAGGTTGGTTTTGTTCTCCAGAATAAATTATTACACTGTGAGCTGATAAAGTATCAGCACATTTTAATCAAATATTCATAATTTTTTGATCCTATTCCATGAATCCTTTGCTTTTACAAATTTGTAAATCTACTTACTTTCTCTTTTCAACTGGTAAGGATGAAATGAAAATAATAAGTAAATTAATGAGCTTTTGAACATCTAGAATGTTTGAAATAGTCCTCATGAGCCAATTGTGCATCTTCAGTTGTGGTGCAGTGGTGCAATTCATGCTTTTTATCAGAGTGAAAATGTTGATTAAAAATATCAAAGCGAGTCACTACTTCTGAGTTTAAGGAACAGATAACTGAAGAAATGTTGGCAGAGATGACTTTTAGAATCTTTTAAACGAATTTCTTCTAGACACATGTTATTTGAGTCCAATCCTTTACTTCATCAATTGTTTAACAGATGATCAGTTTAACTTCTAGACAACAAAGAGTATATTTGCACATAGAGAGTATATTTGCACATAGTTTAACTTCTAGACACATTGTTTAACAGATGATCAGTTGTTTCAATTTGTTTGGGGACTTTTAGTTTTTGTTTAATATTCTTGTTGTATTCACTACTTAATTAACTTATTATTTCCTGTCAATGATAACCAAAAATATTGCCATCCATCATTCTATTGGAGTCAGAGACACATTAATTCTAGTGTGATTGTCAAGTAAGATCAATTTCGTCAATGGCTATCACCAACTTCAAGAATCAAATTATATGCGTTTTTGGCTCATATGGTTTTTTGAGAAAGGCTATTGAATCTTTGAAACAACCATGACTAGTTGGTATCTTTTTTGTTCTACCTTTTTGGACTATTTCAATTTTTAATCTAAATGAACATTGTTGCTCATTTCTGTCATTGTTTTGCTCAGTATTGTAAAAAACTCCAAAATCTGTAAAATCCAAAATCTGTGCACAGTCCCACTGCCAATCCGATCGGTAAGAACCAGTGTTTTCTATTTGCAAATTGTAAGTTATTTAGTTATTTATCATTTTCTGAGCCTAGGAATTATTGTTTGTGAAAGATGAAAAATTATTCTTATTTAGGAAACACAGCAAATGAGGTTATTTGTGAATCATGACATTATGCTCATTACTATTTGTTATTTGCACAGATGTCTGGCCCAAGTAGTGCTGGAAGTATTGGATTAGGACCAATACGTGAGGAAGATAGCCCGACCAATGTACCGGAGAGCAATGTCCTGGAAGAAGGTCCAGTTGAACTGTTACCAAATGTGGATGAAAGGACAATAAACCTAAGTGACGAGGAGCGTGATATTGGAGAAATATCATTTGGAAAGAGGAAATTGACTTCAACTGTGTGGGAGCACTACAAAAGACAGAAAATTCGTGAGAAATGGAAGGCTATATGCAATCATTGCAAGAAACAGTTAGGGGGTGAAACAAAAAATGGTACAAAGCATTTGCATGATCATTTGAAGAGATGTATACTCCGTTATAAGGATAATACTCACCAAGCAACATTAAATTTCAAAAAGAATGCTACGAGTGGCAAGCTCACAATGGGTACTTACTCTTTCGATCCAGATAAGTGTAGACATAGTATTTCGAAAATGGTGATTTTGCATGAGTATCCTTTGTCTATGGTTAATCACATTGGATTTCGAGAGTTCTTGCACGACCTACAACTATTGTTTAAGGTTCCTTCTCGCAACACTTTGAAGAGCGACATTTTGAAAATCTATGAATACGAGAGAGCCAAAAATATGATTGCACTTGAGAAGATCGAGAGTAGAATTTCGATCACTACCGACATGTGGACCTCTTCTAATCAAAAGAGAGGATTCATGGTTATCACTGCTCATTTCATAGATGATTCGTGGAAATTACAGAGTCGAATCATGAGGCATAGTAAAACATTACATTCACTTGTTCTCATAATTTACCAAAATGATATTCTTTTAGTTGATTTGTTTTGTTCTTGAATGAACTCAGGTTTATATATGTGCCGTGCCCACACACTGCTGATGTGCTTTCAGAAACTCTATTAAACAGCTTGATGGACTGGAATATTGATCGTAAGTTACTAACTTTGACGGTAGATAATTGCACCACAAATGATGCAATGATCAGTATTGTGTTAAGTCAACTTTGTACTCATTCTCTTGTACGGAATGGTGAATTTTTTCATATGAGGTGTTGTGCACATATATTAAATCTTATCGTGAAGGATGGGTTGGACATTATTAGTGGTAGTGTTGAGAAAATTCGTGATAGTGTTGCTTATTGGACAGCCACGCCAAAAAGATCTGAAAAATTTGAGCTCTTTGCACGTCAATTAAAAATTGATTGTGAGAAAAAATTGGTGCTTGATTGTAAAACTAGGTGGAATTCGACGTATTTGATGCTTAGAGTAGCTTTGATTTATAAGGATGTTTTTCCGCGTTTGAAACAGAGGGACTCACGATGTAAATGTTTTCCTAGTGATTGGGATTGGGATTTAGCAAAAGAAATATGTGAGAAGTTAAAGATTTTTTTTTTTTAGGTTACTGAATTGTTTTCAGGAACAAAGTATCCAACAGCTAATCTCTTCTTTACAAATGTTTGTGAAATCAAACTGTCGTTGTATTAGTGGCTTGAATCTCCTTATATGGAAGTTAAAATGATGGCAACCAGTATGATGGAAAAGTTTAATAAGTATTGGAGCGATATTCATGGAGTTTTGGCTTTAGCAACAGTGTTGGATCCGAGGTATAAGATGATGTTAGTTAAGTTTTATTATCCTCGTATTTTTAATCACAATGCTGCAAGTGAAATTGACAAAATATATCAAGTTGGTGCACGATTATCAGAAAAAGAATGATTCAAGTAAGTCTTTACCTCAGTCTTCTACTTCGTCTTGTCAAACCGAGACGTCCAGTGCTAATAATAAAACAGATCGCATGGCGGAATTTTATAAATTTGTTTCTAATGTTGAAGCTCCTAGTAGTGTGAAAACCGAGCTTGATACTTTTTGGATGAGCCTATATTGCCTCGGTCGGATGATTTTGATATATTAACATGGTGGAAAGTGAATTCAATCAAATATCCGACTTTATCTCGAATTGCAAAAGATATTTTGGCCATTCCGGTATCTACTGTGGCATCTGAATCTGCTTTCAATACTAGTGATAGATTTGTTAGTCCACACAGAAATAGACTTCACCCCGAAACTTTGGAGGCTTTAATGTGTGCTCAAGATTGATTATGGGCTGATATTCACGGTACGATGTATATAAACATTTGCTTTTTATATTGTTTCTTTGATGAATTTTCTTATTACTAATTATTTTATTTTATTAATAGGGAATTCTGCGCCATCTACATATTTTGGAAGTTGCTCCAAGATGAATGATGAGGATGTTGATGAAGAGGTAATTTTATTTATTACATAATTTAAATTTTAATCATCGTTATTATGAATTTATGATGATATTGAGTATAATATTTCTTTCGTTTTTTAGGATCCATCTTCTACAATCTCTGAACATGCCGATGAATGAAGTTATAAAGATGGAAAAACAACAAATTTAATTTTGGATAAAGAAGTGAAATTTAATTACAATGTAATTGTATTTGTAATTATTTATTTTCAGATATTGTTTGTTTAGAGTATTTAATTTGGATGTTAATGTTTTTAAATTGTGAATTTTTGGAAAAAAAATTAACGGGACAGTAAACGGGGCGTGATCCCGCCCCGCCCCACCTCAGGTGGGGCGGGGCACGGGATGGGGTGGGGTATGTTTGGGGCAGGGCGGGGCGACGTCGGCCCGCCCCGAACCCGCCCCATTGCGATCACTAAAACAAGCATTGATGTTGGAGCGCCACATTTTGCAAGACTTGCAGAAAATCCCAAGTATCCAGGTCACTCAAGCACCAGATTTTGATGATTGAACAACGCCTGATTCAATAACCCGAATTCTAATTATGGTAGGACATCTTGGGGATTTCTTGGTCAAGCTAAATGTTTTCGATTTTATCAACAAGTGAACCGATTGCACAAGAAATTAGATAGTGAGTTGAGTATCATTTAACGAGGGTTGATTATTGACCACAGTTTAATTAAAACTAACTTCAACAAAAAAATATAATAAGTTAGTGGGTCCGATGATTAGTAGATCTCCATTATCGGTGCACCTTACATTTGGGTCCATTAATATTACTCAAGGCGAATTGTGTCAAATACACTTTTATCGAAAGAGAATCCGCAAAGGTTATATGCGGCTTAATAACAGTGACAACTATTATTCATGTTTTGAGAACATGAGGATTGATACAAGAGCGAACGTTTTTTCAAATTCCAAAATAAAACTAGCTTCATATTAAATTCCCTATCATGTATGAATCCTAGTGTTAAGAAATATAGTTGCCACCAAATGTTCTCAACATCAGCAGACCTTCACTAATGAGCATAAATACTGCTACTGGAACAACAACTGTAGTGATTCGATTATCAGTGAATACGACACAATAACAAAGTACAGCAAGCTCAGTGGATATCGGTTTATGCATAGAGGCTCAGGGACCTGATGGCTTAGAGTTGAGAAGTGGCTGCAAAGCTTTAACGACAATAGTCATGTTGGGTCGAAAGTCAGCTTCATATTGAACACAAAGCGCTGCAACAGCTGCCATCTGGAAAACAGATAGAATGGGATAAGGAATAAGAATGAGTATTCATTTGCTGGAAATGTGTGGAGTTTTAATTATAATATTCACTTATTTATATTCGATTTCCTAATATTACTGCATAAAGTGTATTAAGGGAAGCCATTCTTTAAAGGGAAAATTGCAGCCGCAATACCAAAATTTTTCACTTTCATGCAGACTTGATCCAAACCTTTAGTTTGTGGCACTCATGGTACCTTTCAGAAATTTGCACTTACAATCCAAATGAATGAAAATCGTTTGTTTGACTGTTAGTTGACCAGAGAATTGAGTTTGACCATAATTTTAAAATGATATAGAGGTAACTTGACATTTTTTTCAATAAAAGCACAATTATAATATATTGATAATTAAATTAAGAAACAAAAACAAAAAACAAAAATAGTCACAAAAATCACCCCAACCATCCCCTTCTTCCCCATACCCCTTATCCAGGGCCTGCCCTGTCCCAAGGTGACCAAGGCCATTACCTAGGGCCTCCAACTTGAAGGGGCCTCAAAAGAAAATTAAAACGCCAAAATTCAACAAAATATTTCCTTTTATTTTATTTTTTTTTGGATTGGGTCTTTAGCCCTTTAAAAAGCAACAATCCGTCTAAATAAGAGGCCCAAATTAATTGGGTATTTAACTTACATCCTTGTTTAAGAGATAAAATGGATCTATAATTAAATATTGCCTAGTGATATATTTTGTTGTATTTCTCTATCTACCAAGATGGCAAGATCTACCAAAAAAAAAAAAAAAAAAAAAAAGAGGAAGGAAGAAAAAGAAAAAAAAAAAAAAAAAAAAAAAAAAAAAAAAAGAGGAAGGAAGAAGAAGAATCAATGCATAAAAAAATTAAAGAAATGTCACCTATATATATATATATATATAAGACCTCATAAATTCCAGGACTAGCCCTACCCTTATCCCAAAACCACTAGCAGCGGCTGGCGCAAATGCCACCCACCCCATGCCGACATCACTGCTCCTTCCATCACCACTCCCCACTGTTGACAAATGCTAAATGCAGAAATTCTTAAGCCTCGACGTACACCAATTTTCAATTAACATATACCCTAGTTCACTGGGGGCAAAACAAACATTTCCTGAGATCTAAATTTAACAAAAGTTTAGCACTATTTGCCTCTCTGCTATAAGTTTTGCACTATTCACCTCTCTTTCGATGCTAATTCCAAGATTTTTGCAATTGTCTATCTTGGGCTAGTTTTATTTAATCTGCAAGGCCATTAACAAGAGAAGGTAGAAAATGACTTTGTGCGTCTGAGTTTGGGTAAAAGAGTTAGGTTTGGCGGGCTTTTGGGGTGGTGAAGGGAGGAAGCTATTAGTTTTGATGTCGGACTTGGAGGATTTAAAGGCTATTAATTTCTTTGCAAATTTGCTTTGAATTGGAACATGGCTAACCATGTCATTAATAGTAGATATGGTGACGATCCCGGTGGCGATGGGCGGTAGGGTGAGTGGCAATGGCCAGGAAGTAGGTGGTTCCTGGTTTTTGGTTTTGGGGTGGATGCAGGGTGTGTGCATGGATAAGTGGAGAAGATGAATGTATTTCTTTTTTGGTTTTTTAATTTTAATTGTTTTGTTATATAAAATGTAAATTTACTATTTTAACCTTTAAATTGTCAAAATTTGGTCAAATCATTGACTTTGCTGAAAGATGAACTAACAAATTTCATTAGATTGGACTGCAAGTGTGAATTTCTGAAAGGTTAGGTACCTTGAATGCCACAAAGTAAAGGTTTAATTTAAGTCTGCATAAAAATGAAAGGTTTGGTGCCATGGCTGCAATTTTCCCTTCTTTGTGTGTGTGTGTGTGTGTGTGTGTGTGTGTGTCTATATATATATATAAAAATTTAACATGAAACAAAGCACTCATGCAAACACACATATTTATCTAAAATCAAGAGGGATAAGTTTTATGATGAAAATCTCACACCTTTGATTCCCCCCCCCCCCCCCCCAAAAAAAAAAAAACAAAAAATCAAAGCTGTGAGATTTTCATCATAAAACTTATTCCTCTTGATTTTAGTTAAATATGTGTTTTTGCATGCGTGCTTTGTTTCATGTTAAATTCATTGCTTCCAAGACTAAAATTAGGTTTATTCCATAACATTATTTTCATTTAGGAATTGCAATTTGTTGTGTGCGGAGATAAACAATCCATACTTAAATTTGTGAAGAGAAGCAGGCAAACATCGAGGAGAAAGAAAAGACCTTGGCGATAGCCTTTGGCGGATAGTCATCGTTTAGTTTGGGATCCACACACTGCTTCACTTTGTCTTCACTCAATCTTGGAGTAGCCTAGAGAAAGTTCAATATGAATTAAATGATTAGTAGTACGGGCATTTATTTTGCATAGCCAAACGCGAAAGCAAAACTCACCCAGGTTACAAGACTCTGTTGTCCTTTGGGCATGGTGTGGTCTACTGGCTTTCTTCCTGTCAAAAGTTCTAAAAGAACAACTCCAAAACTATAGACGTCACTTTTCTGAGTTATCTGTCCTGTCATAGCATACCTAAAGCATGAGTTTGAAGTTAGTTTATGTAACCCAATCTTTTAACAAGGGAAATTTGAAGAACTGCCAATATTTAGCACTTCTCAGGTTGTGGAGAGATTTTACTCCATTACCAAATTTTGAATGCATGCAAACAATACTTCCGTGGACAAGAAAAGAATGAAGGCTTACTCTGGAGCATGGTAGCCAAATGTCCCCAGGACCCTAGTTGAATGCAGCCGAGCTGCTGTGTCAGAAGACTGGCTTGTCAAGCTAAAATCAGCTATTTTGGACAGAAAATCGTCAAAAAGTAGCACATTGCTTGATCTGACGTCGCGGTGAACAATTGAAGGCTGACATTTTTCGTGTAGAAATTCAAGGCCTTTTGCTGCACCATAAGCTACTTTGACCCTTTGACTCCAGGAGAGGACTGGACCAGGTTCTGCCCCTTGCACCCCTTTCCTACCTGCAACAAAAAAAGTTGATAATCAGCTTGTGCTTTCTCATCATGTAGAATTTTCATATCCTAAGTTTGACGTACCATGTAAGACATCATGTAATGAACCCATTGTAGCATACTCGTATGCCAAGATTCTATTGTTTGCCTCCAGGCAATATCCAATTAACCTCACAAAGTGCTCATTCACAAGTCTTGAAACTATCGATAACTGTATGGAACAAAGTTGGCATTATTCATGATTTCCTAATATTTTGTTTTCAAAGAGAAAGGAAACTAAGAAATTTGAAATGCTTCACCTGGGCAGCAAATTCAGAGTCTGGCTCTGGAGAAGAACTGGTATCTAGCTTTTTAATTGCTGCTTGCTGGCCATTGCTCAACTTTGCCAAAAACACCCTGCCATAAGATCCTTCTCCAATCAAAGCTTTTGTACCAAAATTACCCGTCAACCTATTTAACTCATCCAATGACAAAGCTGGTGTCTCAATAGGCAGGACCTTTTGTCGAGCACCAGTTTTTACAGCACCTGAAGTCCTTGGCTCCTGTCTTTCACTACCTAAATCAAATAAAAGCAACACAGTGGTGCGATGGGCTTAAGACTCTATCAAGGGTGGAAAGCTCTCTTAATTTTAATAAATGCAAGAGGGATATCCTCTTATTAAAAAGGTACTAGTATCCAATTAAAGCATATATAAGACAGAGGTTCTTCACATTGCTAAAGATAATGATGAAGTTGGAAAGTATTGCAGACCAGACAACGTGAAGAAAGGAAGGGAAGTCAGTTCTAGAAATTAAGAAGTAACTACTGTGATTGCCTGATTTTTATATTATCAGTTAGGTAACAGGTTATAAGATGCTTTAATCAAAGTTGTATCCTAAACTTAGGGTGCTTGTTATCTTCTTTAATGTAGAACAGAAAAATTGAACAAAAGGGCATTCTTCAAATGGTATAATCGTTGCCAGATATAGATAAGTCCTGAATAAATTAGTGCGAAAAGTAAAGCCAAAGAAGAAGCGGGGAGCTATATATTTTGTGAGGCAGGGCAAAATCCTCAAGGCATGATTACTTTCCATACAAATATTAGATAAATTTTCAGCTTATTGGGAGAGCAAATAGTGCTTAATGAACCAAACAGTAGTTGGACATGAATACTATAAGCACGCAAAATATGAAGACTGAAATTGGTGTGACATCAACAATAGAATAACAAACAAGAGACAGTTTACATAACCATGACACGAGATGAGTTTTGAGTTTCGAAAATTCTCTTGAAACATTCATTAATTAACACAATGCCGTATAGAAATGACAAGAAAGACGTACTCCCACCGGCGCCACCACCATAAGGATTGCCCGCTCTGGGCGGGGCTGTACTTTGGTTTGCTGGAGGACCACTGTAATTTTCCTCTTCTGCACCTCCACAGCACAACATTGTTCAATTCTGACAGTGCAGCAATCTAAGGGAGTAATTTCGAAAAATCACACAAAATCAATGCTGAGAAATAACAATTATTTTAGACCCAATTTCATGAATTAGAAATAAGATTGTAAGATTAAACCATTATCCACGAATTATCTACACCCAACTTCCATTTTAAGATTTGATTCAACAAGAAGAAGAAGAAGAAGAAAATTGTGGAATAAAAGTATCAAATCCTGGAAATGAATTCTTTAGGACAATGAAATCGCTATTCAATTTAATCAATTAGTCGTAAAAAATGCAGAAAAACATCAACGAATTACCAAATCAATCGAAAAAATAAATACTTTATTAGAGATTATCAAGAGAATGCCAGAAAACCCAAAATCCAACGAATTGAAAAGTGAGAAAAGAAACGGAAAATGAACCTGTATGAAGACAGAATTTGGAAGAAGAAGGCAGAGATATTCTCTCTATCTTTGTCTCCCTCCCTCTGTGTATAATATTTGGGTGGAGAGTGGATACGGAGAAAGTTTTTTTGTGTTTCTTGTCGCGGGAAAGTCGCATGCAAGTTTTTTAACCGCTAAAATAAAATAATTGCAGAGCCATGCGCTTACCTTTATGTTGCACGTCTAAATAATCATTATTATTTTCAATTTTAATGGGCGATCCATAATTCACTTCACACAATAAAACCTTAGGCATTGTAAAAGGGAAAATGAAATAATTTTCCATTAGATTTTAATTGGTCAATCAATTGTTTATAAGAGAAAAACAAATGTTGAATTCGGCTTGCTTTGAAGAGTATCTCTAATAATCTCTTTCATTAGCTTCACTTTCTCGATTTAAGAAAGTAGAACTCTTTTTGATGCGTATATATAGAGCCTGTTTGGGAGTGATTTTGAGAATTGATTTTTTGACCGTTAGGATAAAAGTGGGGTCCACCTGTGAGAGAAGAAATCAAATATGACGGCTAGAATAGTGAAATAACGATCAAAAATCAATTTTTTGGGGTGAAAAAATCGGTCCCAATCAAGCCCATAGTATATTTTATTTTTAAAAATTTTAATAAATATTGGATTTGACTCTACATTAATACTTTATTTATTATTGTATGTGGTTTGAAGTGATAAAATAAAATAAAGGAAAAATGCTAAACAATAATTGCTTGTGAGGAATTATGAGAAAAGTAAAATAATGAATGACTATAGAAAATGTTATTAGAGATGTATAAAAAGTTTGACTATTTATTTTCAAAATTCATTAAGATCCTTTTTAAAATAAAGACCACTATTTTGTTATGGGAATGTTGAAGGTATAATTTTAAGCAAAAATGATTGCCAACTATTTAACTACTTATATTTTTAATTGAGATAATTTAATTAAAACATCTCAATAAAGAGAGAGAGAAAATAGAACATGAGAAGTTGAACAGGTTTGTCCGGACGAACTTGAAATAATGATAAGCATATGGTAATGCTGCGCTTTAAAAGAATAAATAAATAAGTGTAGTGTTATAAACTAAAGAGGAAAAAAAAAAAAAAAAGCCTTGTATGTTTTACTGACAGCCAAAGCACCATATTTTTAGGGAAGAATTAAAGGTACAGCCTTTAAGGGATACAATAGTCATAATGACTAGTGATATTGGATAGCGTTAATAGTCATGGTGACCAATACGATGAAGGCAGCTCAATTGGCACTCTACATCCACGTCGGGTTGTTAGCCACTATGAGGCCCTCTATGTCAATACCTAATCATCGACCCCGTGAGCACTCCATCCCCCCATGGGTGCTCTATGTCAGTACCCGACCATCAGCTCTCATGAACACTCTGCGTCTATGCTAGGCTATCGACCCCCATGAAACCATCTAGAAATACACGGCCAACCCAACACTTAGCCATAAAATAGTTAGCGGATCAGATGAAGATCACTTAATGGATGTCACAAACGCAACCAACTGTCAAATAGTCAGAGGCTCCCCACTCAGAACGTGGGGAAGTGGAAGAGGCTATGTGAGACACATGGCACCATAATCGCCCAACATTCCCACGGCTTTCAGTCACCTATAAATACACCCAAGTTAAAACAAGTATGGACGGGAAAAAAACTTTGGCTATCTAAATTCCATGTTTTCTTTTCCTAACACCATATACTGATTCTCACGCCGAAGGTAACAAAGGGGAGAAAGCCCCGTCCTCACTTTTCAGGTAACATTTATTCATCGGAGTAGTAGGAACACCTTGCACCGCTAAGAAGGCATGGAGGTATTGTTTCACGACTACTTCATTGGCGCCGTCTATGGGAATTATTTCCACTAAATAAAAAAGTTATGTCAAGAAGACGAACAAGAAGTGATGCGTGTCTGTGGGCAACTACGATAGAGATTGAGTTAGAGCTAGTCACAAGGGGCCATGACCCATCGCCACTACCACAGTTTGTAACACAAAGCCAGTTTAGCACTTTGGAGGCCCAGCTGGCGACGATGATGACCCTTTTGCAGAATCAAACAAAGAGAGCCATACTCCCGTCACCATACTCGACAGAGACCATGCAGTCATCCCAAAGGGCACACCCAGAAGCCATACCTATCATCCAATCAGTAATAGAGGGCTAGGGGGCTCCATAAGTGACGGTCCTGTAGCCCTCACTGTCCATGACGGATTTGGAACGGAAGATGGAAGAAATCATGACCCAAAAGATAGACGATGCATTGTCCAGGAGAAAGGAAAAATGTAGATAGATGGTTTAAGAAAAAAACCCATTCACAACTGAGATCATGGCTGTCCCTCTACCCAATGGCTTTAAGCAGCCTATGATAGAAGCTTACGATGGGATCACGGATCCGTTTGACCGCCTACAGACCTTCGTTGACTTGATGAGACTCTATGCAACACCAGACGAGTGATGTGCTGATCCTTCTTCCCGACCTTCAGGAGGGAAGCTAGAGACTAGGTGGGGACATTAGCCCCCTGGTCTATTAGAACGTTTAATGAGCTCTTCAGGAGTTTCAGTAGCAAGAGGAAGAGGAAGAGGAAGATAACCATTGGGTTGATGCAAGTCGTCTAGGAAAAGGATGAATCTTTGTAAGAATACTTGGCCAGGTTTAGCCGAGCGACACTTGGAACAGAGGACCTTTAGATATTGGCGGTGGTAGCCGTGTTGATGAACGAAATGTGGAATAGAGTCTTTAAGATGTCACTTTCCAAGAATCTCCCTGAGTCGATGCATGACCTACTGAAGAAGGGAGAGAAGTATATTGATGCGGAAGAAGCGAAGAAGGTTACAAAAAATCTCAGGTAAAGATGGGAGATGGAGAGTTACAAACGAAAGGCTAGAGATAAACCAAGATTTATGAACAAGAATAAGCTAAGGAATGAGCGCATAAGCAAGGGGGCCACCCAAGACTGACTAGTCAAGTAAAGGCGAGAGGAGGTTAGGGTGTTCACCCTTTTGAATACCCACGCGTAAAGCTTTTGATGGAGATATGAGACATGAAGGAACTTGAATGGCCAAAGCCAATGGTGACACCAACCGGCAAAAGAAACCACAGCAAATTTTGTCACTTTCACAAGGAATACGCGCATGATACTGAGGAGTGCCTGTAGCTAAAGGAAGAGATCGAGGGCCTTCTGAGATGGGGTATCCTGAGCAAATATGTGAAGGACAACTAGGGTAAATAAAAAGTAGAGGAACGCCCTGCCTAGATCCGGGGTAATAAATATGATCATAGGAGGATATTAGTAGGTGGAGACTCAAACTCAGTGAGAAAGAGCTACACGCATTCCATTAGGATTTACTCCATCCAAAAAAAGGCAAGGTTCAGTCAGAACATTGCTTTTAGCGAAGAAGACATGGTAGGCGTAGCATATCCCCATAATGATGCTCTAGTGATAGTAGACGACATAGTAGATTTTGATGTTAAGAGAGTGCTGGTCGATGGAGGAAGTGCAGCAAATGTTCTCACTTGAGATGCTTTTCTGGGTCTGAAGATCTCCCAGGAGAAGTTGAAAATGGTGATCACCCCTGTAGGGCTTTGGAGGGTTCACGGTGATGCCGGAAGAGATCATGGAGCTCCCAGTCACGCTAGGTACATATCCAACCACTATATTGATCATTGCGAGCTTCCAAGTTGTCAATACCCCATGCCTACAACTTCATCTACAGTCGACCCCTGCTGAATGCCGCTGGGGCTGTCCCCTCAACCTATCATCAGATCATAAAATTCCCAACGAGCAGGGAGGTTGGATGCATATAAGGGGATCAATAAGTGTCTAGAAGGTGTTATGTCGATAGTATACAAGTCAAAGGTTTACCACCAGTCGTGATGTTGGATGTCGAGCCTCTAAGAGAGCAAATCGAACCACTTGACATGATTGAAAATATCTTCATATCAGAAGAACGGGAGTTTAGCATTGGGATCGGATTGGGGTCTAAAGAGAAGGAAAAATTCGTAAAATGCCTAGTAGGTAACCTGGACGTTTTCGGATAGAGCTCTGACGACATCACCAGGATCAGCCCAGTGATTACACAACATCGCCTCGATGTCCTATCAGGGGCCAAACGCTTGAAACTGAAAAAAGGAACCTCGCCCAGAAAAATAAGCAGTGGCGAAAGCAGAGGTGGAAAAATTGCTACAAGCTGGTTTCATCTGGGAAGTGCAGTATCCCAAGTGATTGGCGAACATTGTGCTAGTAAATAAGTCAAATGGAAAATGGCGCGTGTGTGTGGATTACACCAAGCTGAATAAAGCATGCCCAAAGGACTTGTACTCGCTCCCTCGGATAAACCACCTAGTAGATGCCACATCAGGTCAAAAGAGGCTAAGTTTCCTAGACGCATTTTTCGGATATCATCAAATTTCTATAGCTGATTTTGACCAAGAGAGGATATCGTTTATTACTAACTTTGGGACCTATTGCTATACGGTCATGCCATTCAGGCTAAAATATTCTGGGGTGACTTATCAGAAGATGGTGAATAAGGTCTTTCGCGAAATGATCAGCAATTTCATAAAAGCCTACATTGATGACATGGTAGTGAAAAGTGTCAAGGCCAGGGACCATGTGACCTACCTACAGAAAGTGTTTGACGTTGCCAGATAAAATAATTTGAAGTTCAATTCGAAAAAAAGTGTTTTTGGTATAGCCAGTGGGAAGTTCCTAGGCTTCATGATCACACAAAGAGGTATTGAGGTGAACCTCGACAAAATATGGGCAATACTAGAAATAAAGAGCCCCACTAGCAAAAAGGAGGTCCAGCGGCTAATAGCATAGATAGCGGCCCGAAATCGCTTTATGAGTCGAGCAGCAAATAAATGCTACCATTTTTTCAAAGCCATCGAGAGCTCTACCAATTTCGAGTGAATGCAAGAGTGCGAAGAATCACTGGAATCATTGAAGTAGTCGTTGTAGCAACGTTCGATCCTCACCAGCCCATACCCAAGGGATGTGTTATGCCTTTATCTAGCAGTTTCACCATGGGCAGATAGCGTAGTAATAGTGAAAGAATTCCAAAG